TTTTTTTTTTAAAAACTAGAAGATTTGAATATACTCTATATCATAGATCAGTTTATGTTATATAATCATATAAAGAATAAGGTAAACAAACAAATACAATTTTGAAAATCTTAGTTATATATTAAATATAAAAAAATAGAATAAATCTCAGAGAAATTTCTGAAAAAAGTAAAAGTTACTTCGAGATATAATATATATAGAAGTAAGAGAATAATAGATATATAAAAACAGAAGAAGTATATATCAAATAGAGAGAATAGAAAAGAGTTTGCTAATAAAAACAAAAAAGTAGCTAATCTTAAAGTAATACTTAAAGAGAAAGATTTACTAAAATTAAGAAAGATCATAGAAGGAATAGGAGAAAATTGATGAATATATAGCAAGAATCACAAGAATCAGTATAAAGATCATTAAAACAACTAGAAATTGATACAAGATTTTAAAAAAAATAGCACTACAAAAAAAAAATAAACAAAAAGAAGGCTTTAATAAAAAGTAAATACTAGATTAGATTGCAAACAAAAAGAGCTAGTAATAGTTAGAAAAAAGAAGAAAGAAGAAAGAAATCTCTGCAATTATAAATCTTTCATCTCTCAAAAAGTAAAAAGAATCAAAGAAAAAGAAGCTAACTCAGAAAAAACTGTAATAGAAATTCTGTTCAAAGATGATCAACTAATAGAATTCCTGAAAGTTGTAACAAAAGAATTTTTTAGTAGCTCTACAAAAATAATAACACAAGTATATCAAAAAGCTAAAACAATCTCTGAAGTAGAAATGAAAGTCTCAATTTTACAAATAGAAGACAAAATCTTAAAAGATATAGCAGATCTCTTTTGAGAAAAATTCTAAACAGAAGCAAATAATATAAAAAAAATCTAAAAGGAACAAATAAAGCAAGCAGTAGCAAGCTATGAAGAATCTTATAGAAACTCTTTTGAAGATAGTCTCTAGGCTCTAAATAAAAATACTTATAAGAAACTCAAAGAGTATAAAGCAAAAATAGCTTTAGTCTTACTTCCAGACAAGTCTAAAGAAGAAAGAATCAAGTTTGTAGAAAGAACTCTTTACAGAAGCAAACATATAAGCAAAATTGAAGAGCACTTCACAAATAAAAATTTCTGAGTTATTATAAGCTTTGACTACTATAAAAGAGTTAAAATCCTAAAAGAGAGACTAAAAAAAAAGTGAATGAGTAGTATAATATTTTTTTTGAAGATATTGAACAAACACAAAATGAATTAAGAAGCAAAAAAGATAACAAAACTAGTAGAAAAGCTGCTAAAGAGAAAATAAATAATATATCAGTTAAAGACAAAGTAAATGTTAAAGAAAATAATAAGGCTAAAAGAAAAAAACAAGTCTAAAAAGAGCTAGAAGAAGTATACAATCTCTGAAAAAGAAAATCTGTATAAGATAACATAAGAAGAATACTTTCCGAAGAAAGAAAGTCTTCTAACAATAACTAGTCAGCAAAAACAAAAGAGATTAATAATATCAGAAATGTAATAATAGTTTAGGATCTTTTAAGCTAGTCAAAAAGATTACAAATATTTGAAACTATATGATATCTTAGAAGAGTTAATCATATCAAAATGATTAAAGAAATATATTCCTTAATTTGTAACATAAGCATATTTGCCTGTATTCATTTTTAATTTTTGTAATTTTGGTCTAGCGATCTTAGTATAGTGGTTAGGTTGCCAGACTGCCATACAAGAGGTCTAGAGTTCAAATTCCACTGTATACAGAATTGAATAATTACCTAGACATCTGTATCTAACTTACAGTAAACTCTGCTCGTTTCTGGGGTTGTAACCCTGTAAATCACATTGCACCAATACCAATCGGGTATTGAAAGTGTGACGGAGTGTTTGGCGAGGCATAACATTACATGAATAAATCTTGATAGGAAAAATATCAGGGTGGTAGTAGTTAATCACAGGATGATATACGCACACTGATCTATGGGCAGGAGACCTGCATAGTAGAAATCCTGAGTTAGGTGAAGTAGTATGGATTTCGACAGTCATACCAGTTTATACCTAATTCGGTAAAAGAAATTTGTAGCTAAAAGATGTGATTGAGCAGATGTGAGTAAGTCTGTTACACAAGGTTATATGACAACACCAACTTGGCTTGGCGGCTAACTGAATTGGAAGGATCTGTCTCATGAAACATTCAAAAATATAGAGGACCAATCCAGTAGAAGGTCACAGTAGGAACCGGGTTTGTACGAACATTGAATAAGGGTATATGCAAACTAGATTAGAATATAGCATAGCATAGTTAGGTACCACAGCACCCTATCGGTTAGGGAGTTGATGAAGAGACACCTTGTGATAGAGTCTAGGCTCTGAACTATAAAGTTTGTAGACTAATGTTAGCTCAAGTATCTTCTAGGAGAAGTAGCATGGAGTTAGGCGAATTTGATAAAACAAGAATAGAATACGGGTAAGTGTCATAGGGCCAGAGAGTTTAAATAGGTAATCTTCAAATAGATTTCAGGTATAGTAGCTAGTGTAGAACCTTCGGGCAGACTACTTAAATTAGACAATCTAAAGTTGTATGTGTGGCTAGTTGTACTCTCACAATATGTATTATTTACTCACTATCAATACCAATAAAAATTCAGCTGATAGCATTTGTATAAAGTAAAAAAAAAAAAAAAAAATTTTGTAATTTTTAAATAAAACTTTGATTTTATTGAGTTACACTAGTATAATATTTTCTCAACAAACATTTTTCTCGTGTAATATTTTTTCTATGTAACATTTTTTTCGTGTAACATTTTTCTTGTATAATATTTTTCTCATGCAACATTTTTCTCATGTAACATTTCTCTTGCATAATATTTTCTCATATAATATTACTCTCGTGTAATATTTTTCTCATGTAATATTACTCCTGTGTACTCTCATGTAATTTTTTTTTCATATAATATTACTCATGCATAACATTTTTCGTGTGATATTCTTTAATGTAATATTTTCGCGACATTCTTTCGTGTAATATTTTCATAAGACATTCATTTGTGTAGCATTTTTTATGTAACATTATACATACCAATATACTGTATAATATTATAAAATTCAATAAACAAAGGCTAAACAGTCGAAAAATATTATCACTCTAACTCTTATCATGCAAATTTACTTCTCAACCCTATTATTCTAACACTAACACTAAACTAAATAACCAAAAACTCACTAAATAACTAACCAAACTATATATTAACACCAAAAAAACAAATACTAAATAACTAACTAACTAACCTGAATTCTAATATTAGTACCAAAACTAAATTACTACCTAACTAAATAATTAACTAACTAACTCTCAAATCTTAATAAACCTAATATAGTAATTAACCTAACCAACTAACCTGAATTCTAAAAACCAAATAACTAACTAAATGCTAATCTAACCCTAATACTAGCACTAAAAACTAAATAACAGGTAACTATTCAACCAACTAACTAACCTAACTCTAACTCTAACCCTAACTAACAACTAACTAACCAACTTACCCTAACTTATACTAACATAAAGTTGTATAGTATTAATCATATCCTAACTTATACTAACGTAAAGTTGTATAGTATTAAACATATTCTAACTTATACTAATATAAAGTTGTTTAGCATTAAATATATTTGAACATAAAGTTGTATAGCATTAAATTATTAAAGCCAAATTTTATTATATATTGAAAGTTATATATATTAAAAACTATCTACAATATTTAATTTTCACATGTTGCCCTATTGTGCCTCTTTTTCCCACAGTTTTGACATATTTTATATGTATCTTTTTTCTTAATTTCTCTATTAGCAGTTCCAGGTTTGTTAAATGTTTGATTATCTGTAAATAACAACACTTTTTTGTCTAATTATCTTGAAGTTCAACTGTGCTTTTAGCTCTTCTGAGTAGCCTTCCTTTTCAAGATGTAACTATTAGGTTTTCAATATTAAACTTATCTCCCTTTGATAATTCTTGCTTTTTCTGTTTATCTAATATAACCCTTAACATATACCTATTAGTTCATTGTAGGAATTTGTCACTATTGCTAAATCCAAAACCTTTCGAAATATACCTTATGCATAACTATATTTTTGTCTAGTACTATTAAGTTTTTGTAACACTGGTATATAAACATCTAGATTACAAGCTTCTTTAATATATCTGAAATTACTTATATGATTGTTGATATTTTGATTAGAATTAACACATAATATAACAGGTAGTTGTTACCAAATATTGTTATCATGTTCAATTAAATCATCTTTATACTATTGACTTGCAATAAGATCTATATGTTATTTGGCTTGAGAAGAGCAGCGTAATATTTTATAAAAATACCTACATAGATAATTATGTATAATAAGAAGGTTACAAGTACATATATGAGATCCATCTGCTACAAGTATAATATATTAGCTTTTAATCACACTAGATATTACTAGTTTCCAAACTTCCATAATTTGTGCATACCTAACTGTTTTAACTATATCATTCAGATAATTTTTCATAACCTCATAATTATCCTCATGTATTCCTTCACTATAATCTGTATCTAATAGTTCCTGCAATATAGACTTAAGATCTATATTGCTAATTCTTATACAATCATAAAAAAAACATTCTTGTATTTGCTTACAAATCTTAAAAACTATTACTGGCATAAGATATTGTGATATAGTTGCTTCAATTGAATTAAAAAATGTTTTAGGTATTGTTGCAAGCCCAAATATAGGAATCTCATCTTTATATTCTTCCAATCTCATAAAGTCAGATTTTTAATCAAGTAGGTTTTGAATTTCTTTAACCAATTCTAACAGAGACGAGTTAGACCCAACACAACTATGAATTTTACAATTAAGAATTTCTAATAACCAGCCTGGCTGATTTTATTAAATATCAGCCTATTAAATAAATTAAATAATTTTTTTAAAAAAAAATAATTTAAATATAAAAAAACTAGTTTTATCAAAATATTACAAATGTATTATAGTTCAAATTAGAGATTGATACTAATTTAAAACTCTCTCCTGTTCCCCTCAGTTGAGAGATCGAATATAACAAAATAACAAAAAAACAGACAGAAAATCTTTTTTTAGATACTAACAGGGCTAAAGCTCTTAAAGTTAGGAAAAGAAAACTACCAATGAGTACTATGGGTGCTTCTAAAAACAAGAGAACTAAGCTCTCAAACAACAAAAAAATTTTCGACCTCTCTTCGTACCCAAAAGAAGAAAATAAAGAAAACCTACTAAGCTCCTCAAGTAACAAAAATATCTCTAACTTAGAGCAAAAGAATAATAACAACTGAGCAGACAAAGTAGAAGTAGAAATCTTTGACAAGAGTAAATCTAAGTAAACTGTCTACACAGAAGTTTCTTCAAATGAAAGCAACGAAAGTTCTAGCTCCTCTTCTGTAAAAGAAACAACAAAACAATACGTAAAGTATAACGTAAACAAAAGTCACGTGAGCTATCCAATCATTTCAAATGATAAAAATGTACTAAAATCTAAGCCACCAGATGTTACGCATAACTCAGAAGCTAATAACCAAGAACAACTCAAACCAAAACACTGGTCAGACCTGTTTACCAAACTCAGAGGTGGCAAAGCTACATACAAACAAGAGACTCCAAAAAATAAGATTCTCTCCAAAAATGAAAATGCACTAGTCTTTAATATCCAAAGCCTTAATAACATATCTACAAATGATATCATTTTCTCTTTAGCAAATTCTCTTGGCGAAGACCTTCTAGCTACTAAACCACATTTTAGCAAGGGAAAAAGAGCCTACCTAGAAGTAGTCTTCAAAAACGAAATGCAGTAGCAACATTATACAACAGAAGGAATCAATATTTTTAAACAAACGATCTTTGGTTACATTCCTATTAATCTAAAAAGAAGCTTCCTATCAGTTAAGGTCAGAAATATATCACTAGGAAACAAAGACTAGACCAACAAGCTTCTTTTAGAAACCTTCCAAGATTTTGAAACTATCTCTTCTGTCAAGCCTCTACTCTTCGAAGGTACTTCAGTCTGCTCTGACCAGTGGATTGTTTCCTTCGAAACAACTAAAGATCCAGATCTTCCACAAAGACTACCAAGAACTACTTATGTTGATGATCACAAAGTTAGCACTGAATGGAGGGAAGCTTCAAAAATGTGCTACTATTGTGAAAAAGAAGGTCATGTAAAAAAAGAATATGAAGAGCTAAAAAATGTAATTGCAATCTGGTCATACTACAAAGAATTAAGACTACAAAAAGAAAAGAATCAAACCAGTTATGAAACCCAGCTCGAACTTAGTCCTAACAACCCTTACACTCAAGTTCAGGCTAAACCTAACTCACAACCTACAATTCTAAAAGAGAAAGATGCTACTTCTGCAATGGAAATGGTTGCTGAAGAAGAAAACCTTTCAAAACAAAATTGCTCTGCTGAAAAAGCAAAAGATAATTTCTCAGATCTGAATTAAAAAACAAACATCTCATCTTCTAACTCTGAATCTTTGAAACCAGAAAGTGAACCTGTAACAAATGACACACAGAAGAACAGGAAAAGGAAAAATAAGAAAGAAATACAAAAAAATGATACTATAATGACGGAGGTAGCAACTACTGAACCTGGCTCCTCTTCTCACTGGATCATAACACCCTCAATAATATCATCCCAAAAACAATTGTATCTCATTATAAAGAAAATCACAATCGCAACTCTTAATGTAAAAGGCCTAAACAATAGGGCCAAAGCTCAAAAAACCTTAATTCTTTTAAAATCATATAATTTAGATATTATCACAATTCAAGAAACAAACCTAAACGACATGAACTCCAGAAATTTTCTAGCTCAACAATGGAATTTTGACTCTTTCTGGTCCTCAAAAGTGGCAATTCTTGCTGGCAACAAACAAACCAAAATTGTTGAAGCAAGAACCTCCTTTAATGACTGAGTAATTCAAGCAAAAATTACTTACAAAAATAATACTTTCTTAGTCACCAACATATATGCACCTTTAAACCTAAAAGACTGAATTAACTTCTTTAATAGCTGGTCTCTAACAATCGATGAAGACTACATAAACTTCATAACAGGGGACTTTAATGTAAACTTAAACCCTCAAAAAGATCGAATAAGCTAAGCTCTAATACAAAATGACTCTTCTAGAGAACTGGTCAAGAATCTAATAACAGACTTCACTGATACATTAGAAACCTCAACAAATAGCCCTTTTCTAACTTTTTATCAAAACACCAGAAATAGTCACAAAATGGCTACAAGGCTTGACTACATCTTCATAGATTCTAATCACAGTTTCTTAAACAAAGAAACACAAACATAGTTTGGCAACTCAGATCACCTTCTCGTCGAATGCACCATCAGCTTCAAGTCAACCTCTACACATACTACCTTATGGAGATTCAACCCTAAATCACTCTCAAACTCAGAGACTAGGGATGCAATCCTTGTAGAACTTCAAAAAATTGAAAACCTCGACAAGTAGGACTTATACAAATGTATGATTCAATCAATAATCAGAGCAGCTAAACAAAACCTCCCTTCAGAAAGGAAAATCCAAACTTTACATAGGAGACTAGCAAATATAAGTAATAGAATAGCCAGGGATCACAGACTTACAGACCTTTAATTTGCATTCGAAGAAACTAAGGCGTAGCTATAAGAAGAACTACAACTACTCTCAGAGAGATAGCAAATTAGATCTAATGCTAGATAGATTAAGGAAGGAGAGAAATCTACAAAGTACTTTATTTCTCGATACAAAATCAGACATGCAACATCAGGCAGTTCCAAAATCAAAGACCCAAACAATCCTAGCTCAACAGATATTGCTAACACTTTATCTTATATTAAATACTACTATAAGAAAATCTATAAATCAGAAAGCATTAATCTATCAGCAGCAGAGGAGCTCTTACACAACACACCAAAAATCTCACAAAATACAAACAATGCCTTAACCAAAGAGATAACAGAAGAAGAAATCAGTGCAATTATTGATAAGCTTCCTAACAATAAGTCACCAGGCCCTGATGAGCTAACATATGAATTTTACAAAATTCTAAAGGAAGCCCTAGTCCTAATTCTTATTAAGCTCTTTAATCAGATTCTACTAACAGGACGTATTCTACACTCTTGGAGCAAGAATATGATTACACTCATTCCAAAGAAAACTGACAACTTGGAAAGAATAAATAACTAGAAGCCAATCTCTCTAGTCAACAGTAATACCAAAATTTTCATGAAAATACTAGCAAACCTGCTAAATATGATCTGCAGTGAAGTTATTAACTCTGCTCAACAAGCATTCATTTCGAAAAGATCTATCTCTGATGCTGCATTAGACGTCATAACAGTACTAAGAAATCAACCAGACTAGTCAAAACAACACTGGCTTTTGTTCTTGGACCAACAAAAAGCATTTAACAGAGTTAGCTATCAATTTATGCAACTAGTACTCAACAAGATGAATTTTGAAAACAAATTCACCAGAATTATAACCTCACTCTTCGCTTCTCAACAAGTATACATTCTCAACTCAGACAATCTTTCAGAACTCTTTAAGGTAGAACGAGGAGTTAGACAAGGAGACCCTCTTTCACCTTTACTATATGTCCGTGCAATCAACCCCCTTATTCAATCTATTCAAGAACATATTAGAGGTATAAATATCTTGTGATCTCCCTTTAAAATAGCTGCTTACGCAGATGATCTTACTCTAGAAGCTAGCTTAGTTTCAGATTAAGATGCTATCCTAACTCTTCTTAACAAGTACGAACTAGTATCAAATTCAAAAATTAATAAATCTAAATCAGTACTAGTACCTCTTACTAAAAACGCCTGTCGAGTAGAACTACAAAACCAGGACAAATTTAGAATATTTCAACAGAACTCAGATTCTATAAAAATTCTAGGATATGAAGTAGACCTCAAAGGCTCTACTAAAAAAGACCTTTGGATGAATATTACTAAAGCAATTAAAAATAATATTGAGAATATATCCTCGAGAAACCTGTTACTAAGAGGCAAAATTCTAGTTACTAAATCTCTTCTAATCTCCAAAATCTGGTATACAGCTTACTTGCTCCCTCCTAGCAGAAAACAACTTAACGAAATCGACAAAATTATCATGAACTGGGTCAAAAGCAAATCAAGACTCCTTCCACAATATTCAACCTTTCAACTTGAGTACAATCAAGGAGGACTAAAAGCCTCTATCCTTAAAAATATCCTAGATTCTAGACTAATTTCCATTTGGATAAAACTTCTCACTAGTGACTGCTTTTGGGCAAAAGTAGAGAGAAATCTAATAACAAACAAAATATATACTATAAGGAATATCTCAGTATATACCGCTCTTTCTCAAACAACAATAAAGACAAA